CGCAACTGGCGATGTACGACCGGCCCATCCATCATCTGCGATTTAGGCTGCATGCCTGACGCAGGGTTCGCAAACTGAGTGGAACTGTGATGCCTTCTTAGGATAATCTACATGGCGATAGGGCAGGGCTTGCTGATGCTCAGGAACAAATATCCTTAAACTAAAACTTAACTATTTTATACGTCTTGTCTGACTCAGGTGATTGAAGAGCGCATTGCACTGCATAAAATTGTAACAAAAGGATTCCTTTTGTGGTGTCTTAAAATTGTGTTGGTCCTGCCTCATGCTAAAATTACAGTGTGAGGTTTGCTTATTACGGAGACCAAAGCCTAGCATATTGCTCTTTTCCCTAAACTGGGATAGCTAATCCCGTATTCACACAAAGTAAGGAACTGCAAGACATATGTGATGCATGTCTTGATGATGAACATGTTATTATGGAGTGCGGTCAACAAAGCCCAAGAGCACATGAAATAAGGTGTCCTCGCATCTAGAGTGAAGCAGAGAACTGTTTAACTAGTCAAACTAATGACAGCTCCGAAAAAGCGAAGGCGCTGGTAAAAGAGGCGCTAAATCATCTGTAGCGCACAAATGGCTTTGCTGCGCAGCAAGCGCTAGCTCTCCTGTAGTCCTAACACTTTGTTCCCTTCTTTCTTTCACGATTCTTCTATCAGGGCTGTTATGGGTAAAAAAATTTGGATGCCACCCCCTCTTGAACTGATCTTGAGCAGTTCAGATTTAGGAAACATTTTCAAGCGTGAATGTTCAAATGTCTTGTAAGCATTCCTCAGCCATGCACGGTTGATTGATAGATTTGTGGGGTTTAATGTCCGAAAACCACAATATGATTATAAGAGACGCCGTAGTGGAGGGCTCCGGTAATTTCGACCACCTGGGGTTATTTAACGTGCACCAAAATCCGAGTACATGGGCCTACAACATTTCCGCCTCCATCAAAAATGCAGCCGCCACAGCCGGGATTTGATCCCGCGACCTGCAGGTCAGCGGCCTAGTACCTTAACCGCTAGACCACCGTGGTGGGCCACCATGCACGGTAGCACATAACGGAAATTTATAGAAAATATCTGGATTCATGGCAACCCTAATTCCAATTCTGCACGTTATGAAGTTCACTATAAAAGAATAGCATTCTACCCCCCCCCCCCTCATTTATTTTATTAGCATGGGTGCTGTTGTAATTCACTAATGAATGATATACGAATGATGAGGATTGCCGTTGTAGTCGCCTATACGAAAATTTGGGGTACAATATATGGGCCCAGCCAATACATCTTCGTAAAAGTAACATTTTCGCCAGATAGCTTGGAACGGCACCATCGACGTCGGGAACTTTCGGAAAACTAAGCTCCGAAAGCAGAACCACCTTAATCCATCCCACCATAACGTGAAGGCACAAGTGTTATCCTGCAGACGACGCTCCTGCTGTGTCTACCACACGCAACGCCTGCGCGATGCGAGAGTGGACTGATGCTTTCCTTATGCGGAATGTGTATTATTCCCCTGTGTGCTTCTGTAATAAATATATCATGTTTAAAGCATTGCTTTGTCACCTAAAAGTAACTTTAGTATGTACACTCACAGTAGAAAGTTCTATTAGCCATTCTAGACGACATGAATACAGCGGTATACAGTCAGGTTGTGTGAACTTATTAGCCCTAAACACGCAAGCGTCAAGATGTGATAATTCGCGTAAATATGGGCGGGATCTCCACAACTACCGCCAATACTGAAATCGTGTCATATAAATTTGTGTCTTTTTCACAGCATTGTTATCCGGATAATTGCATGGGCACCTTGGCAAATTAACATGTAGTTATTACGACATTGAAAATGGTAATGAGACAATGAGATACGGATAATGAGACATCTGAATGACAAGGATGATGCTTCGAGCCCGATGAAGTAAGCCGGATGCCCGTCTCACAGGCTGCATGTGATAATTAACGGAACAACTGAGGACAAAAGGAACTGACATATATATTGGTCACGTTATCACAGTGCAGACAATATAGTAATTTGTAGAATTTTGTGAGTCAGAAAACAATATGGTTAGGAGGCATACCTTAGCGGGTGATTCCGAAGCGAATTTCACCACATCTGCTTTTTAATCACGCAAATTGACCCACATACAGAAATATTGCTTCCATTTCACCGCTATTTACATGCCGCCGCCGTGGCCGCTGGTTGAACCGGCGTTTTTGAGCTCGGCAGCAGGACACCTTTTGTGGTATGTTACAACGGCAATTGTCAGAGCTAGGCTTCATAGAAAAAGCTGATGTAGGATGTAAACTGTTATCATGGCTTCAACCTGTACGACACGCTTTCGCAAAGCTTCACTGGCGTGCAACCTTTTCATTATCGGCCGGCCTTCATAAATCCCTCAATAGTGCTAAGTGATTTGTAAGGCAATAATGCATATCGAAAAAAACCACCAACGCTGCTATTAAGTTTTACAATTGCTTTTCTTCGCATAAAAAGCGAATGTTTCACTGTACCTTATATGTGCGCGCCAATACTAAAACGCAAAGAAAGAAAAAAAACAGCAATTTCTCAGTAAAAATTTTGACTGTTGAGTTCACCATCTTTTACTTGTGATTATATGAATAACTTTTTCCAAGGTGGGCGTTCATCTGGCGCCGAAGTTTGCACGGGAAACAGGGTCTGCGCGACAGTTACGCAAAAGCGCACTCGTTCTCGCTTAGTGGTATGACGTGACATTCTCGTTTTGCAAGATGGCAAAAGCAAGGCGTGCACTGCGAAACTACAAATCCTGCTGCAATGGCGTGTCACGCACATTGAAGGACTTCAGTCAGGTGTCGCTTGCAAGAGTATAAAGCTCGGCGGCTTCCCAGATGAAACAAGCAGAAGGCATTCACTTTCGCCTAGACATCGCTCTGTGAAGACTAGCTCCCATTTCTAGGTTCACGATTCTCTAAATCTTACCAATGTTTCTTGTGGTGAGTCAAATCACAATAATATTCGTGTTATCACGTTGAATTCTGTGAGTTCCAGGCCTTCGCCCACTGTATTAGACAAGAGAGAGAGAGAGAGAGATAAAGATACAAGGAAAGTCAGGGAGGTTAACCAGACGCACATCCGGTTTGCTACACTGCACTGGGGAAGGGATAAAGGGGAGAAAAGAGGTTGCAGAAAGATGAGAAGGTACACACAATCACGAGCACACTCGGGGAGCACACACAGTTTACAGGCGGTCGCTCAGGTTTGTTGACTTAAGGTAAAGTAGCAGTGCTTTAGTTGCTTTCTGCGCAACTGAGGCAGATGCCCAAGGTCCTAGTATCTTCTGCACACAAAATGGTCCGGGGTCAAGTCGATTCAAAACCATCCGTAGCTGGCATCGCTGTGTGTCGTAGCAAGCGCAGCTGCACAGGACGTGTTCGATGGTCTCTTCATCTCCGCAGTAGTCGCATGTAGGAGTGTCTGCCACACCAATGCGAAAGGAGTACACCTTTGTGAATGAAACACCCAACCAAAGGCGGCATAACAGTGTCGCATCGGAGCGGGAAAGTTGTGATGGTAGTTTTAGCTTGAGCGAAGGATCCAGTTCATAAAATTGACACCTTTGGTAGCTGGTAGACGACCAGAACGTGCGTGTGAGATCTCGAGCCAGCAGGTAAAGTTGTCTTGCTGCATCATTCCTTGATAGAGGAATCGGGACTACACGGGTTTCTTCATGGGCTGAGCGGGCTGCATCATTGGCTAATTGATTTCCGGTAATACCGATATGTCCAGGCAGCCATTGATATATAATATCATGCCCTCGTGCTAGAGCTTCATGATGGCAATGTCTTATTTCTTGTACCAGTTGGTCATGGCTCCTCCTACGCATGGAAGACTGCAAACTCTGAAGCGCTGCCTTCGAATCACAGAATATGACCCATTTTCCTGGACGTTCTTGAACGAGATATTGTAAAGCAGCCCTTATAGTAGCAAGCTCTGATGGCGTAGATGTAGTCATATGCGACAACTTAAACTTGATTGTCATTTCTGCAGCAGGAATTACAGCGGCACCTGATGAGCTGCTGAATGAGACGGACCCATCAGTGTATATCTGCGTTCGGTCTAAGTACAACTCATGTAATAATAGCAGTGTTGCTTGCTTCAATGCTACTCTGGAGTAACTGCTTTTCTTTTTGATTCCCGGAATTTCTAGACGTACTTGCGGCTGGTCGAGGCACCACAAAGGGCATGCCGTTCTCGCAGCTGGCGTATATCCTGATGGAATGCTGTTTAGGTGCTTGGCTATGACGTCTGAAAACGTAGCGCGTGGTCTTCCGGAAGGCAGAAGGGCCAAGTGGTGGTCGGGGACACGGCTAGCATGTCGAATGTGCGCTCTGAGGCAATCCACAACTATATATGTCCTGACCGGATGGTCTTTGGCAAGCATGATTGTGGCATAAGTAGAAGCGCATCGGGGCAGTCCTAGGCAGATACGCAGTGCCTGACCCTGCAAACTCTCCAATGAATGAGTATTCGATTTGCAAGTGTTAGTCAGTACCGGCAAACTGTAGCACAATGGACCCAGAAATAGGGCCCTGTACAGCTGTAGCAGGTATTAGACAAAATGTATAAATTACATTGAGTTCTTCCTTGCCTAGTTGCACGTGATACTTCAACATTATAGAAGGGCACGTACAATCATGCTTATTAATATTCTTCACTTTTAAATGACTTTTAAAATGAAGAAAGGTAAACATTTAACTAATAGTAGTGCATAAATCTGCTAAGGCACCTTTACGGTTTTAGTAGAACAACCTGTAATTAATAGACTGCCTAGAGTTAGCTTGATCACAGAGAAGAGGAAGATCACAATCATACTAATATCTGTACTTTCCGTCTCGCTGAAACATTAACAGGAAGCAATGAGCGTGAATCTAACCAGTTTACTTTATTTCGTGTCCATTAACGATGTAACACTAAACTTTGAACAAACGAAACACGCGCGCTTCCTCATAACGCAGGTGCAAGTGTTGTTCGCCTACTTGGTCGTTGAATGCGACGCACTTCATAACCACCAGTTGAACCAAGCTGGTTACATTGGTGCAGGATACACTGGCTACGCCGATTCTAGCGTGGCCGCTTCTTACGGGGGATACGAGGCTTATGCATCTGTGAGTTCCAATGTCGTTGTCTTAAATTGTTGTAAAGAGCTTGAAGTTATAAAGAATATGTGTGTATCAGGTCTGTGGCCCTACGAATGTTCAGAGGGGAACGCAATCAGTAACACTTTCCTAACTTCACATTGATATTCCGACAACGCTTACGTCACGTGTTCCTCTGAGCAATAGCAATGCCTTAACAATGCATGAACATTTTGCTAGAAAGATTGTTCCGAAGGTAAGGTGGTGTTGTGAAATAATTGCCGGTCTCGCTCGTCTGCACAGTACATATTGAACCTATGTGTTTGTGTACATGTAAAGATATTTGCTACAGACCACTGTGCTTTGCAGATATTCGTCAAAATTGCTTCTCTTTCGCAGCCGCCTCAGCCGTACAACTTTGGCTACAACAATGTGAACGAATACGGTAGCCGGCAGTTCCACACTGAGCAGGGTGACTCCAACAACGCCAAGACAGGCTCCTACGGCTATAGAGACGCGAACGGCCTCTTTCGACGAGTGAAATACGTGGCCGACGCGTATGGCTTCCGAGCCACTGTGGACACCAACGAGCCGGGCACCGTACCTGGTGCAGGCGCAGACGCGGTGTTCAACGCTGCACCGGTAGTCCCACCAGTTCCATAAAGTTCGGGACAGAGTCAGGCACCTGCACCTTACGGCACACAGCCGGCAGCAAAATACTTAGCTGGGGGCTATGCTGGTTACAGCGGATACGGATACAATCTCTACGCAGGCGCTGCTGGACCCTTTGGCTTCACCCCTTACGGGCGTTACGGGGGCAATCCCAGCGGCTCGGATGAACTTGCCTATGGCAGCCAATCTGCCCATGTCTACACTGCCACTGGTTATGGTGCAGGTTACAGACCTGGTGCCTATGGCCGCCATGTTGGATACGAAAGCTGGCTTTCCACTAATCACGCACTCCGTCGTCGTTGCTGCATTCATTCCTTATTGGGATCCTAGTGATAGATATTGACCGGCAGTGTTGTCGTGCACCAAGTGGATAAAGAGAGCAAATGTACTTTTGCTTGTTCTCGCATCGTACGCATCACTGGCGATAATGAATTTCTTGGGGCTGACATCCTGTAAAGAAACGCACTGGTCACTTCACTGTTTAGTATTGTTGACATGATTTGTATGAGTAAATAAAAGATGGCACTTTTTAAGATGACGTTTTTTAACTTCTTGTGCAGAAAAATGTAAAGTAAAAGAAAATATTTTCAAACAAACAAAACCACTGCCACACGCTGAATGTAATGTTTTTTTTGCGTAAGGTTAGCAATCGCATTAGGATAAATAAGTTGGTTTATGGTTGAATAATGCAGGAACGTTGAAGTGAATGAGCCGTTGTGGCATGATGGCGCTTCTGTCGTGTATTAAGACATGTCACAATTTGAAAAACAAAAAAACGCCAAGCCTGCGTGGAAGGCGCAGTGCAGTCACAGTGAAAGCTAGAAAAGTGGCCTTCCAGAGCCTTTTTTTAAACACTCATTGGGTAACTCCTGCAAGCAGACTTGCTGGGTACGCACTACGGCATTAATAATCAGAAGTTCTTGGTAGTAGATCAGCATTCGCTACGTTATTTTTGTCATTCTTCTGAGAAGCGTTGTATCCGCTTAAAACTTGCAAGGAATTTTGTGCCCATTGTTCCTGCAGTGGCTGACGGCGATGATGAATTATGCCTGAAGTGGGTAGGTGCCACACCTATTAGGTGATGAAAAACAAGTTTTTGTAATGGGTTGGAGCATTGGACGACCCACTCGCTACGCTATCTGCACAGTGTGATGCCTCGTTGTTCTTTTGTTGTTCTAAATCTCTTTATTACTCATATTAACGCGATTCTTTTCCCAAGATCAAGCCTGCATAAGGCAAGTTTGCGAACCGCTCCGAAGCACCGGCGTGGCTCAGTAGTAGAATACTGGGCTGGAACACAGTGGACCCGGGTTAGAGCTCTACTGTGTCCTTGGTTATACTTTAAATGCGAAGCATTCCTTAGCAAACTTCGGCGACATTTAGCGTATCTAACTATCTAGCCGCTTACGTTTGGGTGCTCTCGTGGTCCCCCCATTAACTTGGCGTGAACCCAAAATAGCATGGGAGGGTGAGACAGTTTGACGAATATGACGCACTGGTCAAGGCATGATTAATAGACAGTTATAGTTTAGCGTTAGCATGATAGCGTAGGTTAAGGGAATGGCGCTACCGTGCAGCAAACGTTCTTTGTGGGCTGCGTCTTATAGTTTAGCGGGATAGCGTTTACATGGTTTACGTGACCCAGCTGAGATGTTGGCGCCACCTATTAGATGGTTAATAAGTTAAGCAGTGAAAATGAAAAGAAAACTAGAATGTTTGCCTATGCTACCACGCGTAGCATTGATAGAAGTTTATTTTAGTGATAATAAAAGTAAATAAATATGAACCATGCACCAAACGCGAAAACATTTATGTTGCCGATTTGTTTACATCGATCTTGTAGTTAGGCCTATACGCATTCGAAATGGGAAGCTATCTCAAAAACTGCACCAACTTGTCTGTAATACTTGGTCATCGAAGCTAACTAAAGGCAAGCGAAGCCACTTTGAACAGTTGTTTGCTGCGAACAAGGTGAATCTTTCAACAACGACTCCAAGATCACTTCGAAGCGTGCGCGTCTGAGAGCACCGCCATGTTTACGTACACTACGTGCATCTACACTACAAAGGTAACGTGATATCTGCAAAATACCGCGCGTGCGGGAAGTGGTACGGGTGACATACGTATCTGCGCATGCGCAGTTCGATTCCGGTATCAGGGTACACCCGGTAACCCGGTATACTATAATTCTCTAATATCACAACCCTGTCGCGTACGTCGTGAAACACTTCCCGCCAGACAGTGGCACATACCCACGAGCGGGTATGTGCCGCTGGTATCTGGGTAAGTGCCACAGGTGATTGACAATTCATATTTACCCAGAAACGACGTAAAGACACATAGGCAAGTTTAATGCGCGAGCGTTAAGAAATACCCGACACCGCAGCGTCGACCCGACGAATGCAAAGAATAAAGTGTCAGGGTTCCAGCTGAAATCGAACACAAGCATTTTGCGTGGCAATGAAGCATTTTCCCACAGAGCCACGCCAGGTCTCAGAACTACTTTTCAAACATGCGCTTATCTTCGTGAAACGTCATTAGTGGTTGCACTGCTGCCTCCCCAATTTTATAAACATAAGATATGTACTGCTTTGATACAGCCGTCACGTCGGGTTTACGTCAATTGTGGTTAGTTGCCATGCGCTGAAGTTGATTTATGCATCAGTGTTCAGAGCAAGCATCCTTGCGAGCATCAGTGCTTCATATCAGCTCCTGGTGTTGCTAATACGCATGTTCTGCTTGGCATCGTTGCGCAAGTACAAACAACCGGTTATATAAACATCTGCAACTCTTCAACATATGTCTGCGCGTGCAACAACTTGCACATATACTTAGCGTCGTTTCATGACGTGTCGCTCAAAAAGAAAATATTGCAACACGGTCACCTTCCTTCCGTGTGCTTCACATAGCGTCCATTCTCAGGTATGTGATATCTGCCTAATATTTTTTTTTATTTTGCGATAGTGGTTACGGGCGGCGGCGGCGGTGGCGGCGGACAGCTATGACGCAACGCGTGAGCCGAGTTTTTACGCGATAGCGTTACAGAGCTCGTTTCGCAGAAATTCCGCCGTCGGTGTCGTTGGTTGTGAGCGAAAAATTGTCGGTGGGCGGAAAATTGAGAAAGAAGCGAATAAAACGAAGAATGAATCTTTTGGTCCCGTTGAGGAGCGAACGGGTCCGTACGCATGGAAAGCAGGTGTCCTTCCACAAAGCCACGATGTTACTTGTAGCGGCTTCGGGAAAAAACACTACATAAATGTCATGTAGTGGAAGGAGTCTCCTTAACGCATTTTGTTATACTTGTGTCACGATTAAAACGAGGCCATTCGGACATTTGTAGGCACATTTTGGAGTCTATGAAACTACGTCGAAAAAGGCCGGCCTATAGCGCAGCCATCACCACTAAAACGTACAGGAACTTTAAACACATCTAAAAAAGAGAACTATATCCATCTAGCGGAAAACACATCATGATTTTCTAGAGGCGTTGATCAAGCAATCAGCAAATGCTAAATAATGTGCTGCCATCTGTGAGGCATTGTGAGACTCTTTATGATCCTTCAAGAACGGAGGAAGCAACAAAAAGGGAGAAGGCAGCGAGCTTAACCAGAAAGACATCCGGTTGGCTACCCTACACTGGGGGATTAAGAAAAGGGACAAGAAAGACGAGAAAGAGGGAAGAGAGGGAAAAAAAGGGGTGGGGGAGAGACTGACAGTAATTTCACTGCAGCGTGTAGAACTCTACCGCATGTCAGAGGCGTTCACACAAGCCTAACTTTCTCAGGAAACACAGCAGGGCTTTCACTGCCTTGTGGGCTGTCGATGCGTGTGTACGTTGCTGTAATAGCACCTGCACAGAAAGAGGCCGATCATCCAGTCGCCGCATTGCGTTGGCAAGTACTTGTCTATCTGAGGCAAATCGAGGACAATGACACAGCAGGTGTTCGATATTTTCGTCGGTGCCGCAAAAATCGCACGCCACCTTGTCAGTAATTCCGATTAACGTGGTATAAGCTTTCGTGAAAGCAACTCCCAACCAAAGGCGATAGAGAAGCGAAGCTTCACGTCGATGTAGGCCGGGTGGAGGCCTCAGTTGTAGTGAAGGGTCGAGCTCATGCAGTCTTGTACGTCGTATGCTTGGTGTGTTCCACTCAGTGAGTGTGAGACTGCGGGCCAGTTGACAAATCTGCCTCGCCGCATCCGCTCTTGAAAGCGGTATCGGAACACTGTTCGCTTCTTTGTGTGACGTGCGAGCAGCATGATCTGCAGAAAATTTGCCGCCTATACCACTATGCCCAGGTAACCACTGAAAGACGATGTCATGGCCTTTTTGTATTAACAGGTGGTGAAGTTTCACGGTTTGGTAGGTCAACTGGTCGTGGCAACCGCGTCGGAGAACTGATATCAGGCACTGTAACGCTAGTTTTGAGTCAGAAAACACAGCCCATTTACCTGGACTTTCTTCTGAATTGATGTGTTCCAGTGCATTACGCAGAGCCTCGAGTTCTGCCGTCGTTGAAGTTGTCACATGTGAAGTCTTAAAACACCGAGTTACCCATTGTGATGGTATAACCACTGCTCCACCTGAACTAGACGGTGTAGTAGAGCCATCCGTGTAAATGTGCACGTGGTTACTGTAGTTTTCTTCCAGTAGGAATAGACTCAGTTGTTTCAAGGCATGTGTCGGTAAGTCCGATTTTCTCCTCATTCCTGGAATCATTAAGTGAACTCGCGGCTGGCTCAAGCTTCAAGGAGGAAGCAGTGGCTTTGATGCAGGTGCGTATGTCTCAGTAAACGATGAACGATGCTTGGAGACAATAGTGCCGTATGTCGTGCAGGGCCTTTCAGCAGCTAGGCTCGCCAGGTGGTGAGAAGGGGTCCTGGCATAATGCCTGAGGTGCATGCGCATTGTCTCTGTAATAATATGCGTATTTATCGATTGATCTTGTGTGATGGCAATGGTTTCAGCCGTTGAAGCACTGCGGGGTACTCCAAGGCATATCTTAAGTGCTTGGGCTTGAATGCTCTGAATTGCGCGCAGGTTGGTCTTGCCAATGTTAGATATGGCAAGTAAGCTGTACCGTAAGAATCCGATAAACAGCACTCTGTACAGTTGTAGCATGGATGGTATGAACACTCCCCAACTCTTTCCTGCAAAGAATTTGAACATGTGGCATGTTGCGATCAGCCGCTTCTTCACATAGTTGACGTGTGGAGTCCACGACAGGTTTCTATCTATTATGACTCCCAAGAACCTGTGGCTTCTGCTGAACGATATGTATTCTTCATTAACCGATATACTGTAAGCAGACCTTGGTTTCCGCGTGAAC